TACATCAGATACTGGTGTTCGATCTTTTCTTTCTGAATTAACGTTTTACGATGTCTGCCTGATTGGGGGAGTGGCAGTGCGGTTTCGATGGAGCCCTATTTTGTACGCCCACGTCCATTGCAACTACTTTGTGCGCAGAGCGAGGAAATTTAGTCTGACAGTGTTCGGTATTTTATCTTAATATACCCCTCAAAAATCAGTAACTCTGAATTTTTGTTTGTAAGTATCATTTCCATCGAAAGTTAGTGATTTCGTTTCTAAAGAGTGTTGCCACGGATTCGCAAATACAAAATTTTGAACAACTTGATTGCTGTTTTCTAGGTTGTTCTAATTTTGCTGCTATACTACCTATTGTTATCCGGTTAGTTGAAATCAAATTGTGTTTAATATGAGAGAAATTTTCTGTTCAGTTTCTGGAACAATTATCACTTCGATCATTGGGATTGTTTATTTACTACCTTTTGGATTATATTTGGGACTGTTTTTTTGTACATTGTTTTGATTTTTGGACTAGTATGTACAGGGTTGTATTGTATTGGACTGCTGTTTTGTACAGACGCGGTTTTCACACCCTTTGAATTTTTTCATTTTTTGTTTCATTTAACCCTAATTTAGTTAGATTAATTTCCTGCTATAAATAAGTATAGTAGGACCAAAAAAGATTTGTAAAACTTGCTTGCATCTTTTCTTTTTTTCCTCAATTTCCGTTATTTCTAAATAAACTTTAAATATTTTTTATTTTGCTTTTTTTTTGCTTGCTATAATGAGGTTTGTCTCGGTTTTGAAAGCATGTTGTTCAATTATTATTGTAACATCTTTTTTGTTTTTTTTTCTCAACTTGTTCAATTACAAATTGAGAACCGTGGTAAAGCCTGTGAGATTCTAGCCGGAAATCTAAAAAGATTTAGGGATTAATTATTGCCCAAATATTCACTTTTTTCTGTCTTTCTTTTTCAACAAATTAACGTTGATATCAGAATGGGATTCGAGATTTCCAAAATTTTTCTTTTAAAAGTACAGTTAATCGAATATTTTGATTTTCATTCTTTATTTTGTTAACCACAGTGAGTTTTTGTAAGAACACCTGAATGTTTTTTTAATTACGATGTTTTTTAACCTGTTTGTATAAAACATCAGAAATTTTTTTCTGGAAAAAGGGCTTGTTTTTAAAAATTTAGTAATATAATGGAGCAGCGAAGCTCGTTCAATAACTGGAGTTTTGACACAAGTTTTGAACTATCCCGCAAGCGCAATTGATCGAACAAGGAACTATCAGCTCCTGAAACTTGCCAAACAAAACTACAGTTTAAACTGCCTGCTCAAAAGCAAAAGTGAAAGATATACTTCCAGAACAACAAATTTTTGCGAATTAACGAGGCCCAAAAATTGACTTTGCGGATTTTTTTTACCTCAGAGAGTGGCTGGTGCTGATTACAGTTGTGGTGCTTCTAATTCTGTCATTTTAAAAAACGAAAACTCACAGATGCAGAATTTATTTGTCTAATTTTATTCGTTAAGCATTTATTTAAAGTTTTGGATTCTCGTTCTAGAAACAATTTTTTTGATCTTACACCTAATTTCTGTTATTTTTTTTTGTGTTTTTCGACAGACATTTTGGGATGGTTATCTTGCAAGATTCTTTCAAGATTCTTGCAAGATAACCTCCATCTTGCAAGATCTTGCAAGATAACCTCCATCTTGCAAGATCTTGCAAGATAACCCTCTTTTGCAAGAATCTTGCAAGATCTTGCAAGATAACCTCCCTTGATCGACTAGGGGGGACATACGGTTGGATCGGCAGAAGCTCAAAATCATAACCAGCGTGAAGTAATCTCTAACACTTATTGTAAAGTACAATGAATAGACACCGCAACCAGCTATTAGATCAAAAACGAAATAACAAAAAAAAGAAATTGATTCGAGCTCTAAAACATTTGCAAAAAAAAAGCCTTCCTTGAAAAACCAGATCAAAACTTGCTGGATAAAACGAGCAAAACAAAACTATGTTGAAGAAAGACAAGGATATTTGGTTACTGAGCCAGTAGCAGTGGGTCTTATAAAACATACAAATGTTTTTTTTCACTAACGAGCCGTTTTTTTCTACGTGTTGTGAAAGAGGGATCAGAATGAATAACAGAATTTAGGCAATTTCGACAGTCTTAGTAACACTGCTCGTATCAAGACAAAGCCTTGAATGTTCCGAAAGCCTTATAAGGTCTATGGAGCGCTAATAACATGAAAAAATTAAATGTAATAAATAAAAACAATTTTTTTAATTTTGATATTTTTTGTGAAAATCATCCGTGCACACGCGATTTAAAGTACAAAGTGATACATTTCGCTGCTAAAATTAAATTGATTATGGCAAATAAGCTTCCTTCAACCAATTTGGAACTATTTCTAAGACGAATTAAATCTCCGCTTACGCGTTAATAGTGCGAAATATATCGCACGTTAATTGTCCAAATCTGGACAAAGTGGCAATATTTAAACCCCCATAACTTTACAAACAGGATTGTTCGTATATCAGGGCAAAAACCTGAATGTTCCGACTATCCCATAGTTCATATCGAATAGTTTTTGAGAAAAGAAAATGATCAAAATCTAAGAAACTCTGGACAATGTCAAAGTGCGAAATGTTGAGTCGTACATTATTGATACGACCAATCTGATTAGCTAGTCTCAATTCAATTTGGAATGATTTTGTTGTTCGGGATAAGTTGCAACGCATAAATAACTCGCGTTACGCTGTCAGCAATATGAATAAATTCTTCAAAGCGCGCATAATTTAGTCCGAAACATGGCCAATTTAGGCCCCAAGATTTTTCCAAAAAATAATCGGAGGTGAAATATCTTTTTACATTTGAACTCAGAAAGTCGATATCTTCAATGGGGTATAAAAAATGTTTGTCGAAAACTATTATTTCGATCGGTGAAAATTGACTGAATAAAAAAAAACCACACCGAGCATAAGCTTTCCGTTTTCTGCGAAAGCCGGAACAAAAATGATCACAGTTGAAAATTTTTTTCAAATTTAAGCTCAGGACAATAAAACGTTTTGAATGATATAAAAAAATTCCGTTAAAAGTGGCTAGTTAAAAAGTCAAAACTTATCTGAAGAAAAAAACCACCCCGAGCACAAATATTCCGTTACTTTCAATACGAAAGTCGGAACAATAATGTACAATGTGTTGGTTCTCTTAAAAATGAATAAAGTTTAGCACTGTAAACTGCTACACTTAACTTGCATAAAAAATGGGCTTTATCTTCATTATACCAATAGCAATAGTCGAGCCTTTTGCGGTGCATGTTTCCTTTTAAACTTTCATTTTTCAACCCAAATGTCTCCGAAGATTTTATTGAATTTGGCCATTTTTTTCTCAATCTTTTTCAACTTGCTAAAACCCTTCTCAATCAAATTTTAAAATAAAACTGATTTTTCAACTTGCTAAAACCCTAACTTTTTTTGTTCTTTGTTATGCTCAATAATTTCTCTGAGCATAGTGAACTATCTAGGCCTCTTTATCTAGGCCTCGAAGTCTTTCATAAATCAAATTGTAGTCCCTAATTTTGTTTGGCTTTCATATGTAGATATGAAACAAAATATGAACCGGGAGTTTAGTGAGCCTGGTTGAAGACTTTGCTTTTTAAAAATAACAAAACTAGAAGCACCAGAAATTTTGAAAATAAAATATTTAGTTTTTTTTTCGTTCATCATTTCATAAAATTTTTTGAAGAATTAACTTTAAAAAGAAACTTAAAAGATGAATTATTTAGGAAATAATTTTGAGACGAAAATTTGAAGAAATTTCCGGAAACCGGACACCCGAATCATCATCAACAAGTGTCGACCTTTCAGTACTAAATCAACAAACTACAAGTAATAAGATAAACAAAATCTTTAGTAAGCTAGTTTTTCCAACCCACTTTGGAAGTAGCAATTGGTTTTTCATTTTTGTTCCGTTTTTTGATACGAAAGTAACGGAATATTTGTGCTCGGGGTGGGTTTTTTTTTTCTTCAGAAAATCTTCGACTTTTTAACTAGCCATTTTTGACGGAATTTTTTTACATCATTCAAAAGGTATTATTGTCTTGAGCTCAAATTTGAAAAGATATTTCACCTGTGATCATTTTTCGTGAAGTTATGGCGGTTTAAAGGTTGCCATTTTGGCCAATTTGGGACAATTAACGCGCGATTTATTTGCGCTATTAACGCGTAAGCGGAGAGTTAATCCGTCCTAAAATCGTTCCAAATTGGTTGAAAGAAGCATATTTACCATGAGTTTTTTAATTTGCCATGAGTTTTTTAATTTTATTACTGCTTCACAAACCTTAAAAGGCAGTCACAACATTCAGGGCTTCGCCCTGATGCGAGCAGTCTTGTTGTTCCGACTTTCGATACGAAAGTAACGGAATATTTGTGCTCGGGGTGGGTTTTTTTTTCTTCAGGCAAATTTCGACTTTTTAACTAGCCATTTTTGACAAAATTTTTTATATCATTCAAAATGTATTGTTGTCCTGAGCTTGAATTTGAAAAAATATTTTACCTGTGATCATTTTTCGTAAAGTTATGAGGGTTTAAAGGTTGCCATTTTGGCCATTTTGACCAATTTGGGACAATTAACGCGTTCATTTTGGCCATTTTGGCCATTTTGGCCATTTTGACCAATTTGGGACAATTAACATTGTATTCAAATGTTTAATGTCATTACTGCTCCATAAAACCTTAAAAGGCAGTCGGAACATTCAGGGCTTCGCCCTGATACGAACAGTCCTGTTTTTTTTATAAAATCGGTTATTCATTTTGTGCCTATTTAACTTTTTAACTATAACTTCTGACATCTCAGCAGGTCTAAGACGACCCAAATAAATCATTCGTTAAGTTTATCGGGTAAATAACTTAAAAGAGCAAAGAGCAATGTTCTCTCGAAGTAACAATTTATTGGAAAGTTTGAAAACCGCCACCAATCAAATTTCATTTAGTCGATGAAGGACCTTCGATGGATTACCGATTCCAACTTGCAAGTCCTAATTGTATTACTAGATGAGCAAATATTTTCTTTCTGCAACCAAATTTAGAGCAATTAAACTTCACATGAGACCATGACATTCAACGAGCTAGTCAGAATTTACTTGCTTGTTTTTGTTTTACATACACTGGGTTAGTTGTTAGCGCTTACCAAAAATTGCTCAATCATTTTTGAAGGGTGTTTTGAATAAACAGTTTGAGTTTGAAACTTACAGGCTCGCAATGCTCTCCCGGATCTTCAGGAGAGGTCAATCGGGACTCCCTTATCTTCCTTCTTCCTGATCCTCTGGCCAAATTAGGCCATGAATGCCTACAGCGGAGGTATTTGAAACTTTAGGTCAAATTTAGTAAAACTTTCTGGTGTCCCACTCTTTAAGCCGACGTTGTTTAACCCCAATCTCTACACCCCCTACTTCATAACCCTCTCGGGGAGATAAGCTTGGGGTTATACTTTTAAAAACTGTGGATGTTAAGCTTGGGAACCAAGATTTGTCTAGTTTAGCTCGACTCAATTTGAATCAGTTCTCAGTAAAGCCCCCTTTAACAAAGTTATTTTGCACTTATATTTTTAAAGATTACATAGAAGAAGCGGTGGAAAAATATACTTTCCTAAAAATAAAAAGCTATAATATGAATATGTTCACATATTACAGCTCTTTTTTTTAGCAATTCTTTCGTAGGACATTCTTTCCCTTGATTTTTCTATGTCGTCTTGAAACTTATCAGGTGCAAAAAACTTGTATACATTAGTGAAACTATCACTCGATTCATTGAAAAATAAATGGGTTTGATGTTTTTCAGTTTTTCATTTTGCCTGATGGGCTACAAGATGAACACTAGAGTGGCCAATCGTCAGCCGAGGGATAATGACGAGGCTCAGTTTCAGCAGCTCATTCAGAACAAGTTTCAAACTGTTAACTGGTTCTCTTTTAAACCAGATGACGCTCCTGGTAGAAACCAATTTTTAGTTTTAATCACCAAGACAGTTACGCAAAATTAATGCTCGGCGTAGATTTTTCTTTAGACAATATTCTGATTTCCAATGATTTTTTTTCAACGGAATTTTGTAGATGATCTGATTTAGGGCGGATATAGGGGGAGGTGGTAGGGGTGAACACCCTTCCCCCCCTTCAGGGATTCGACTCCCTCACTTACTAAAAAGTCCCTCCTTTGGTATTATCTTATGACATCCGTATTCCGATGGCCAACGCCAATTATTCTAGAGACGTTTTGGACGCCAATATATAGTTATTTTGAGAAGGTGATCGCGCGCTGAAAAAAAACCGTGTTTTTTGTAAAAAAATTTCCAAAAAGTGCTCAAAAACAGCATCTGACCATTTTTTTTAAAATGGTTGAAAGTCCGTTTCGCCCCTCGAGAAAATACCAAATTCCGCCTCTGATCTGATTATATTAACGCCCAGAACATGGCGGTTAAAGTTTAAAGAAAATGAGGAGATCAAAAATTGTCGAGGAAAAACATGAAGATCGCAAAATCTGGAGGTGAATCTTGCTGAATTTCAGAGGGCTGTTGTAGTTACCAGACTGGGTGGTACAAAGAATTCGGCCAAAGGAACGGACTATCCCCTGCCAGCTACTATAACATAGTTTTCAACTTCATGCAAGGACGAAGAGACGAACAACTAGTATTCGTCAAGGTCAGACTCGCTCATTTTTTTTCATTTAGTGCCGTAGCTCACATTGTCTTCGGATCTTCGATAACAAATGCTGACCGGACTCTTATAAACTTCCCCCACCTTTAAATTTCATCTTCGATAAACTAATTATACGTTGTCATAATGCAATGAAACTTAAGGCATGTTGAACAAATCAACTGTTCTGAGCACATTTGTTACTTTACAGAAACAAAGTCACGCATATAGCCATAATAACATGTAAAAGTACACAGAAAGTAGAAATTTTGAGCTGTGAGGGCGGGGTTAGTGAAAAAATGCCGATGGCCGTAGTACAGGGGTTGATCTGGGGATTTTCAAAAAAATTTTGCCGACTTTTTTTTAAGTTGACCAAAATGATTTTTCGAGTTCTCCCAAAGCACTAAAAAGGCCCTGCCTTGAAAAAAAAGGCCAAAAATAGAGTTTTTGGAAAATCGCGTTTTTCGGCTCGCGCTTCCCCCTCAAAATTAGTATACATTGGCGCAACAGGCGCCTTTCGAAAAGTTTTAGGGTCCTTTCGAAAAAATTTTCGAGCCAGTCTGACCTTGCCAAAAATGGATATCTCAAAGTAGTACAAAGGGGGACACTTTGTGTCGGCAGGGGGGTGGAATCCTTGAGGGGGTCGAATCATTTTTTTCCTGTTTTTTGATAAATTAGGGATTTTTTGAGTTCCAGAAGGCATCCTAATATCTATTTGGTCTGCATAAAAGTTTGTTTGGAAAATCCATGCGTATAGTTTGTTAAATTTAAAAACTACGCTGTTTAGGTTCGCTGGAACCCCGCGATTTGCATGAACGTCATAGAGCAGCTTGGATTTGGCCGAGGCCTGCTGAAAACACAAGGGGGCAAAGGGCTGACCAAACGCTTCGTCATGCCCCCTTCTGGTGGGTCTCTGAATGTTAACATCCTCAAAGGTACGGAACTGAAACGGGTGCTGGACTTCCGCTGGTTTATGACTAGTGTAGTGTGTGTTGAGAAACCAGAACTGTGTCCACCAAACAGCGACCTTCCGGCGTCCAGTAGAAACTCCGAGCTGGAACAATCCGTGCCAGTTTTTGACCTGCGCTCATTGAACGGATGGAAATTTACATGAAACATATCACTGAACTTTTAACACCAATATTTTAAGTGATGCAGTCAAGTAAGAAAAACCTAGACAGCTGCAGTAATATATTATATTTTCTGAATATTACAATTAATTAATTTATTTTATTTATACTCTTCATCTGCACCATTAAATAAGGTGTATTAGTCACAATTGGAGAGGCACGTTTTGAACAGCGAAAATTTGAAAGTTGTAGTCACAGCCTTTCAATTTTGGCACTTCAAAAAAATGTTCTCTCAATTTACAAGATAGAAAAATTAATACATTGTGAGTTGTGTCAATTGAATGGCTTATGTTTAAAAAACTGTTAGTTTTAATGACAACATCTGTGACGAAAACATGAAATACACTCAAAATAAATACCACAAAAAGATATTTTCAGTCGGCAAATTTTTCACCAAGAAATGGTAATGGGCTTAGCTCGAAGATTGTGATAACTCTATGTCCAGGGTGGATAAGTATAACAAAAGGTAGATCTCAAAATGTCAATTCACATGAAAACGTTTTATTTCTTTTCTCTTTTAGATCGCTTGTTTTCCGTAACGCAGTACGGACACACTGTTCAGTCGTAGACCATATTAGGTCACCGTAGGTTGACCTTGAATAACACTAATCATTTAATACATAAATAATATAAGCACTCGCTAAGGGTTAGTGTAGTGTGGCTGCAGCTGCAGCTACTGTACCACATTCCCCGGGGGACAAATAACATTAGGATTTTTAAAGCTCAGTTTAATGTTTAATGTTTGTAAAAGTCTTTTTGCTCTTTAAATGCTCCTTTCTGCCGATCTTTTTTGTTGCACTTAGGTCGCCTCCCTCTTTTTTTCCGGTATATCGATTTTTAAAGGGAACCGCCACGAAGCATTCCACGATAGCGTCACGTCAAGCGATGCGTATCCGAACTTCCTTCGGATTTTAAGATCATTTCTCCACGAGGGATAGAACCAACATACGAGCTGTACAGCTCATCACGGTGAACCGCTGTTGTGCCCCTGCTTAAAAACTACATGCAATTTTTTTTGGGTTATTTTTCTGTGCTGGGTAATGTTGCCTCACCCTCAAGCAACGAGCACGGATCATGGCGGGCCTCGAACATCCGACCTTTCGATTGAGAGGCGGAGACGTAATCACTTCACCACTGCTCGGAAAATATGCCCTACTTTCCGATATATAATCTCACCGATATGCCCAACTTTGCCTCCGCTAGTCTGTTCGTGTCTGTTGTAAGCCTCGTCAGTTTGAGACGATATGCCTCCAGAGCGGCCTTATTCAGGTCCGTTATGTCATCCTCCGGAAAAACTAAGCGTACTGAGTGCTTAACTGGGTCACCGTATCTCTGAGGTCCCTGATTCTTAGTTTGCCGATTACTTCTTCTAATTAGTATGGTGTTGCCCTGATGCTCGTTTTTGCTTGACTAATCCGAGAATCCTGGCGGTGTATCGGTGTGGGAGTCATTTTCAGCTTGCTCCGCGTCTCTGGTTGTGAGAATATCTTCGGCGGTTTTCTGAATTTCTCTTTTCAATACTTGATCTGCCATCTTCTCCGATTCATCCCGTGTCATGTCCTGGTTTTGAAATGCTTCCAGTATTGCTTCTGCACTGGTCTGGTGGTTAATTTCTTTTAATTTCACCTGTTTGATTGGAATTTACGCATGTGGGTTGCTCTTATCTGACGGTCCTGGGCTCTCGTTGTTGCCGTCAGTATTTTGTTCATCGGTAACTGCTGTAGCAGCTTTTGCTCTACGAGCTTCTTGAGCAGTTGGTTTCTTATATTTTCTCATCGGACTGCCTTCGTTTAGCTGTTTTGAGATACTCAAAGTCGGCCGAGCGCTATTGGGTTTCGCCCGTTTTACAGCCAGGTTTAGTCCACCCTGACTCCGTGTCTTTCGATGTGACTCTTGCAGGACTGTCCTGGAAGCGCTCTTTAGCCTTATGATCTTGCGCTTTGTTTTGATGGCTTTATTCATCCTCCGAATCGATAGTTACATGTAACTGGTCGTTCTTGCCGACTCGCTTCTTTTTGGATTTTTCAATTTTTGGGATCTTCGCATTCTTTGCGATCTTTAGCGGTAGTGTTGACGTACCATGCAGTGTCACTCTTCCGATATATTGCTCCAGCAGCTGTTTTCACAGTAGAACGGCGTTTGAGACGTCACATTTCCCTTGAAAGGATTTGTGGGAGCTTTTCTGCTCTTCCTGTTTTCGTCTTTGCAAAGCAAAATTGGTGACCATGTATTCTTTTGCTCCTCCACCGGTTTATCTTCAATAAAGCTTTCTTCCCACGAGTACATAAGTTCTTTCCTCAGTTCGGGGTTTATCGTACTCGTTTTGTCCACAAGTCTCCAGGTATCACTATCCGATGCATCTCGTCGGGTGGCATTCCAGCGTGCATTGGCCTCTAGCCGCGTCTTCAAAGCCTTTGCACGGTCTCTGTCCTTCGCAAGTAGCGACTGCTGTTCAAACAGCGGGCTGACATCCCGACTGTTCGATCCTTCGGCACTGTTTTGACATAGTCCCTGGGTTGATCTATTATCTTCCTTTACTGCGAAGCCGTGAGTGCCGATCTCTCCAAGTGTTGTTTATCTAAATGATCAAAATTAGCTAAAAATTTGTCTTATAATATTTCAAACTCTGTTTTGGGAGACGTTTAAATTGAGCTTCAAACGGAGAGCATTGTATGCTTTTTTGTTTTGCCCATCTAAGGTCTCGAACTGTCCTGCTAAAACAGAGCTTTATTGACGCGACATTTTTGTCTAGAAGCATTACTCCTAATCTTCTTTCAATTGTTTGAATAATTCGTTCTACTAATCCACCTCCTCGGTGATCTCCCACCCGGCAAAATTTTTGTTCTATTTTTGAAATGTTTTCAGTGCTTTACCCTTGAACCCAGGAAATTGGTCAGTTCTTTTAGATTCTGGTTTTCTATGCGTTTCAATGTAGGTGCGAAGGAACTTAATTGACGATTTTCCCCCAGTCGATTTAGTATTTTTCACCGAAGGAATTTTTGAATACCGATCTAATGCTACCAACAAGTAAATTTGTTTCCCCTATGATCTTCCAGCGGTCCTGCATAGTCTAATTGTAACTCTTGCCCCAGTTGCGTTAGCAGTAGTAGTGTTTTGGTAGCATTTTTGGGAATGATATATTTAGCATTTTTACCATCGCGAGTTCAGCTTCTACATTCTTCGGCATTGCCTCTTAACATTGAGCATTGCCTCTTGACCGGGATGACCCCGATGAATTCGTTTCAGAACTGCCGAACGCCGTTGACATGGAGCCGCTAGCCGATCGTTTACGAGTATGCAGTCGTTAACTACACTTAACTGGTGCCACAAGGGATTAGTGTAAGGGCCCATCAGTTTAAAATTGTGTTTGACATTCCTTCCAATCACTAGTCGTAAGCAGTCCAAACACCTATCCTCTGTGATAGGTTCTGCGAGCAAAGTCCGATCAAACAATCGTGCGAGATTGTCTAGCCCTCCTGGTATTTTTCTGCCAGCTGCACTGCGCTCTTCTTTTCTTGAACTATGGCTGATTCTTTTTGAGACCACGCTTACTTCATGGTCATCTTCTTCCGGACTGTCTGCCGTGAGGTCCACCACGACTATCGGTAGTCTTTCACTCTCATGGACGCAATTTTTGGTCGTGTTAGGGCTGAACATTTCTGTTTGTGCCTCCAGTTCTAGCATCGTTTTCGTCTGTCCAATCCCTCTAAACCTACTAGGTTCCAAAAGGAAATTAATTTGGGTATTTCCTTCTTTTGCGCCACCATCTCACTGCATGCAGCTGTTGATGATACTCCTGTTTTTAAAATTGAGCCTGCCTATGTAGAAGTCCCTGCTTCGTCTTTGTTCTTTATCTGCTGTCTCATTATGTTCCACTCCGCATACGGTATTTCTGAATCTGAATTGTCTGTGTCCTTGTTGTTTGCTCCTGGCCCCCGTTTTATCAATCTCATCCGTTGAAAAGTCGTTTCCATGACCTCTTCCGTCACTTGGTTGTGTCTTCCACCCTGTCTGATGTCGCTGATCCTCACTTTTTTCTTTCACTTCTATCTTTCTCCACCTTGTCTCTATCGTTGTCCGCATTTCTGTTTTCCATCTCAATTTTCCGCTGAAGTTTTGTATAAATTCTTAGCCAATTGGCTTGAATGAGAGAAATTGCATCAAATGTTTGTTTTACAGTTTGAAATTTGTGAGTTTTTTTTAACGTTTTCGTTCCGGTCGAGCCTTGTTCGTTTTGAACCAATTTGGTTGCTATAGCAACCGTGGGATGACATGTTTACTTTATCGTTACTGCCAGTGTTTTTACCAGAATGTTCTAGAATATATTCGTTTTGAATAGGCTCGGCCATATCAGTTATCCGATTGTTCAAACAGTAGAGAGCTCTATAAAAATTTTCAATAGATGTTAGCACGAATTTCTCATCAAGTTCAGACTCTGACCACTGTTGTCCATTTGGCTCTCTTGATAGGTGATAAACTATACCCATATCCCCTCCAATTATATGCGTAATCTTGAACTGATATGGTAAAAATCTATCAACCCATCTTGTGAGTTGAGATTGATACGTTTTGTTTGAACGATTGTCGCCTAGAGCAGATGTTAGTGCTTTATGGTCCGTAGCTATGGTAAATTCCCTACCCAAAAAACAATTTTTAAATCTGTCCACGGCCCATGTTACTGCCAACAATTCGAGCTCGTTTGTCGAATAATTTTTCTCTTGTTTATTCAGATATCGTGATGCAAAAGCAATTGGCATCCAATCCCCCTCCTCTGTTTTTTGTTCGAGGGTGGCCCCAAAACCGCTGTGACTCGCGTCACATTTAATTTAACTTTTGTGTCTTTTTCCGGATTATAATAATGGAATATTTGCAATGTTTGCCACTGCTTTTTTGATTTCATCAAAAATTGTTGAGTGTTTCTCCTCCCACTCAAATTTCTCCAGCGTCATTTTTATATTTTCAGATTTTTCTTCTCATTCTCTTCACGCAATAATGGCCTAAGCTTATCAGTTAGACTAGCTGCATTTGGTATAAACTTTGACAGGTGGTTTATACTGCCCATAAAGGATC